AAAAAAAAAAAAAAAAAAAATCATTTAAAAAAATCAAGAAAATTAAAAAAATCATATTCATCATCAACAAACTTTCCAATATCCTCCACACAATGAAACACTTAACTCTACTCGTATTAATTCCCTACATTTTTCAAGCTGCTTTGGTTTCGGCGACGACGGTGGAGTTCAATGCAACGCTAAGGCACGTGGATTCCGGGAAAAATCACAACAAAACCGAACTCTTGCGACTCGCTTTGCACCGAAGCACGAAGAGAAACGAATGGCTCCGGGCAGCCTTAAATGGTAGTAGCCCCGAGATTGAGGGCCCCACTAGCATTATAGGGCGTGATTGGGGCGAGTATTTAGTGACTATGTCCATCGGCACTCCACCGGTACGTTTCACTGCCCTTATCGACACGGGTGACGGCTTCACGTGGACTCATTGCGCCCCGTGCAAGACTTGCCCCAAGCAGACCCACACTCGCATGTTCGATCCGACAAAATCTAGCTCCTACACGGCATTAAGATGCCCGAGCGAGATGTGCGAACTCTACTATTTCTCCAACCCTTGTCGTAGCAAGCAGCCATTTGGCGGCAAGTGCACGTACAATCTCACGTACACAGACGGCACCGGGTCTTGGGGCGACCTGGCCACCGAGACCCTCTGGTCCAAAGACAACACGGCCTCGGTCCCCGGCGTCATGTTTGGCTGTGCACATTACGTTCATGGAGATCAACTCGGCAGCACGGGAACATTGGGACTGGGCCCCGGAAGATACGGGTTGGTCTCCCAGTTCAATGTGTCCGCCTTCTCCTACTGTCTGCCCGAGCCCGGTTCCAACAGGACCGGTGGTCTCTATGTGGGGTGCGGGGCCCGTGCCCCGCCGGACGCACTCACCACGCCCCTCAGCATAAGTTGGCGCGGCCAATATTACGTCATCCAACTCCAAGAGATCGTCGTCGGTGGGGCGCGCGTGCCGATCGACCAAACGAAAGGCGCCATCATCGACTCGGGGGCAACGTTCACGCGTCTCGACAAGACCGCTTTTGAGGCCGTCGGGTGGGAACTCGACCGCCAACTCGGACTTCCACGGATAACCGATGGGGACTATGTCCTCGACATCTGCTACAAACTCCCGAGAGGCGGGGGAGGAATTGGGTTCCCCAAGTTGGTGCTCCGTTTCGAAGGGGCTGACCTGGAGTTGCCGTCGGAGAATTATTTGGTAATTGATGAGGATAAGGGGATTGTGTGCTTGGCCATGCTTCCTTGTCTTGAGAACTTCCAAGTCACCACTTTGGGCAACTATCAGCAGAAGAACATGTTGGTGGTCTATGATCTTGCCAATGGCAAACTATCTTTCGTTCCAAATTACACACAGTGTGATGAAATGTGATCTTGGGCATACATCCATATGAATAATTGTAATAGTAACAGTAATAAGGCAATTAATGAGTCAAAGAACAAAACCAAGAGAACTGAAATAAAAAATCCAATCCCCTATTTAATTTTGAGTGTCACTTGATACCCAAATTGTCCTCAAACCGAGTCGAACCAGCTGCAACACAAATCTTCTGCATTTGACCTCCGATGACAGTAATAGAGTATTCATAGTTGTAATACTTAGTTGTACTTTTAGCTTTATTAGTTGTATTCTTCCTTTATATGTAAAAGTGTTATTTAGCAAGTAGCAACTTCATTGTAACAGTAATCATATAAATAGGGATCAAACCCTAAAGTGAGACCTATCGGTTCATTTTCCTTTTCATCTGAATATCAAAGCTTTCCCTTTCTCTTTCTACATTGTGTGTTCTTTGTACTCTAATATGGTATCAGTCGCCATCTTGCGATTCCTGTGATTTTCCGCTGCATCTATGAAATTCTGACTCGTTTTTTTGGTTCGATCTGTTGATTTTCGATCGATTTCTGTTCGATCTGTTATTTTTTTTCGATCGATTTCTGTTCGATCTGTTATTTTTTCGATCGATTTCTGTTCGATCTGTTATTTTTTTTTCAATCGTTACACCTCGATCTGTTCTTACTCGATCGTTTCATCTCTGATTATGGCGACAACCGCAAATCCAAGCGAAGATCCTACATCGCCATTCTACCTGCACCCGAGCGATAATCCCGGTGCTCTGATCGTGGCCGAGCTATTCAACGGCGACAATTACGTCTCCTGGTCACGGGCGGTATCCATGGCACTCAGTGTCAAAAACAAACTCGGCTTTATAGACGGTACAATTTCTGCCCCAAACCCGACTCAAAACCCTAATTTGGCTTTAGCATGGATTCGATCTAATAATCTTGTGCTGTCTTGGCTTCTGAATTCTGTGAAT